ATCCTGTCATTCCCTGTGGGTGACCCCTTAATACACGTTGGATTATTTTAATATGTATTTCTCTTTGAGTGGTTTGTTTTCCTTATTTCTCCACAATACATGTAGCTTGAACTGCATGAGGCAGTACAAAAGAAAACTACTGGTCTGTTCCTTAAATAGAGTGAATAAGAGGAAATGATATAATGCACAACAGCTGCTTTTCAATTCTCATACAAAAATGCTTAACTAGCACACTTTGTTCAATGGTACAGTAGAACTGTTTTCTTTGTTTTGCCACATTTTCATAAAGAAAAGTAGGAGAAGGAGAAGGAGAATGGTGTAACATAACAGGAAAATATATTGTATTAAAAAAAAAAACAGCTTTGGCCGTCAAAATATGATTATTATTTTTCTACCTGGTCTCAAGGGATATCCAGCTCTTCCAGAGTAAGGCTCTCCAGATGCTATCTGATAAAACTCAGGGATGAATCCAAAATGCCGCCAGACACTGTGGTACTTTTGAAGAGTTCTTGATGCTGGTCCAATATCACCCCATAATGTCTATTCAAAAATATCAATTTTAAATGTTAACCATTTCACTCCCAAGATCTCATTAATAATTGAGATCTCCTTACTGACTGCTAAACAATTCTTGTAATGCTTGTTTTGAGAATTTGGTATTGCATCACTAGAAATCTCCTCATTCATATTTTTCTTTATTCTTACTTGTCTGCTTGATACTGTATTGTTATTGTAAGGAGAAATACTGTCTTGGTCACTCATGAGTGTTTGAGAGTTAAGACTACAAACTGCTTACTAACATCATGTAGTGCCAGATTTCAAAGGAGATGCCTGCAATCGCAATCATCAGTTAATTGTTTTGCAATGTGTCTGCTAATCAATGACAGCTGTCACCTACCTGAAGTCCTGGCCAATAGGCATCAAGAGACTGAAAGATTGGCATTGTAATCTGACCCTTATCCATATGGACCCAAACATACCAATCACTAATCTTCAAGTGCTGCTGAACTTTGCCATACAATTCTTTGATAGAAAATAAGAATAAATAATGATAAACTAAAAAGTTAGTCACTAAGTAAAATGTGTGCCTAAAGTAAGCATCCATAATTTTATAATTATAATAAGTTAGAGTAATGACAATGATGATAACAAAAATGGGAAGTTGGCCATGAACATTCCACAAGGTGGCTCTTCTTGTACACAGTTTCCAGGTCGAATTGGAATTTGGAATGTTAGATTTTGTGGAGGGAGGAGACCCAAAAACCTGGAGAATAACCCACTGACAAAGGATGAGAACCAACAAAAAACTCAACCTACATGTGATACCAGGTTTAGGAATTAAACTTGGGCCACAGGAACAGGAGGCAAGCACTCTCACCACTGCTCAATCCCTGCTCATAAAATTTTGTATATTCCACTAGATCTGAATGTTATTTTTTATGGCTCTCATTTCAGTTTATCTTTTCCTTATCCTGTGAAATATCATGATAATATCCAAGTTGGGAAGGCTTGTAAAGGAATAAATTGCATGATTGTGAAAATACCAGTACTCAGACCAATAAATTATCCTGGCTTACCTTTGAACATGTCTACCAATATTGGCAAACTAAACAAAATACCCCCTTTAAGGAGATACTCAAAGTAAGAGTCAACACCAGCTCCAATGCCTGCATCCTGAGCTGTCCATTTTCCACTCAATACATCAATATGGTTACCCACCTAAAATAAAGAGTGAAAAAAGAGAAAGGAAAATATTATGCTATCATGATTGTTCCATGACAATAAACAGCATAGCACTAAAAACCAAGAAAGCTCTACAGTTGATTGTCCATCAGTTTATTGAGGTGTTAGGAGGAGAGAGAGGGGCAAAAATTTCGGTAGGAAGGGGTGTAGGGGCTTAACTTATAGCATTTTACACAAGTATTTTTATGTGGACATTCTTACACGAGGAAGAGGAGGGCTATTCCCCTTCATTTGTACTGCAGCCTGTACTGATGTTAGGCTGTCAAAAGGATGCTGAAGATTGAGACCCACCAAAGGGAGTAGGGAGTGATCTAAGGATGCAATATTTGGTAATAACAAGAAGAAGAGCACTGGATGCTATGTGTATTAAGTCATGTAATTATATTCACAAAACAAACTGACACACATTATGATGCATATCCATCATATTGAGGGCTTGTATTTAGCATGAATATCATGGAAGAGTTTCTTTACCAGTCCAAGCTTTGATCTGCTTTTCCAAAGACCTTCTAAAGCTTTCATAGCAGCATCCCTGAATCTTTGATCACCTAATTGAAACATTGAATTTAATAACAAAGCAATACTTAAGAAGGAACTTCTTGTTACCCTGTTACTTTTATTAAACACTGGATACTTCATACATTCAGGGGGTTCAACAAGCACCAGAGATAAAAGAATTCTTTGCCTACTACACACACAATTCTCTGGCAATGTTTTAATGGCCTGAGCTATTACCTTTTAATTGGACTCAAGGAATATTTACCAGTTACTTTACACTACTCTCAAGCTATATGTAACATATTTCTTTACACCCATATTAACTAAGCAAGCTTGGATAGTGAGGCATTTATCACACAGCGAAAAAGATTACACTACAAAACTTATCATGTTACGCTTGTTTCTCTGTTTTCAGGGGAAGATAGTGACAGTTGTTTTTTGGTTACAATGTCAACTTGACTAGAACTGGGTGATTCCAGGGAGGCCTCATATTGCCTGCTCAGAAAGTCAATCAGAACATAGCACTCATTTTACTGATCCTACTTACCGAACAAGTCATATAATAAAGATTATTGTTACCTGTCAAGGCGCTGATTGTTCCAAATTCTACAATGAAAGTACCACACCCTGCAGTACAGGTGATTGGTGTCTCAGATGGAGGGACTCCATAACGAAGATTCACAGTACCATATGGCATTCCAGTTGGGGTGTTAAAAGCTGAGAATTAATGACATACTTTAAAATTGTGCTTTCATATAGAAAAAAAGTTATTCAAGTACTCTGCATGACCTTTCTTCCTTGCCTACCCCTACAAAGCAAAAATATAAAATACTAACCTGGCAGCAGCCTCTCAGCTGCATCTACTGCAAGTCTCAACAGAGGGCCTTGGCATGGCCACCCTTCCTCTACAGTTACTCCAGCCCTTGGTGCAAGTAAGTGAGCTGACAGAAGACCTCCAACAACTAATAAAATGTAAATATTACCTATTGTTAATAATAAAATAATTATAATAAAATGATAAATTTAGCTGACTGTATACTTCACATTGCAATATGAACATTAATCAATTAAAAATAAAATTTATTTTCAGAAGGAGCATTATTGTTAAAAAGTAATAATGAAACATTTGTCACCTTTAGCAAAAAAGAAAATTTTTGTAAAAGGGTTCAGACTACATGTATTGTGCTTGAGAACAATAATAATTTGAATTTATCAACTAAGTTCTCACCTCTTATGTTTGTTTCAAACACAGAAACATTAATATCCATATCAAAATCTAAAGTTTGTTCCAGCAGATTTGTGATCCTCTGGAACTCTGATGTGTTTCCAAGAACCTGAAAAC